CATACAGTGTAGATGAGCCTCTTGGAGAAGTGGCATAAATGAAGATGAACCAAGATCTAGTTTGGTTTCCTTCAAGTCCAAGTCAGGTGTATGCCAGACCCAGCCTGTTGCTGGAGAATGTCTCTTGGCCAGCAACGGACCTTTTTGTTGTGCATTCTGCCGTTTTTGAGCCATTTTGTTGTTGCTGATATTGGTTCATGAGAAGAAAGTCATGTAAGCAAGCAAGTGGAAAACCGAGCTGGCCCACAGCTGCTGGGCCGTCCCTGCAAGGAACCGGAAGGGCAGAATGCTGCCTTCCACCTGTCTAAACGAAAGCAACTCTTGTGCCTGGGTCTCTGTCAAAGCCGAGAGCTGTGAGCCATGCCTGCTTCCAGTAGGGGTGGTCTCCCCTCGGAACCTCTGAGGCCACTGATGTCAGTTTGGGGGAGGAAATGTGCAACATGAACCTGGACAACTCTAAAAGAAAGGAAACTAATGAAGAATTCTGGAGTTATATTCAAAGGATTCTGGAACCAACAGGAACAAGCTCTTACTGGACAGAGAAGTCTGATCTTCAGTCAGAGGACTAGGGGCAGGTGTTTAATGCAGTAGTTAATTTGCCTCTTAGCTCACCTGCCTCTTGTGTCAGAGTGCCTGGTGTGAGTCCCAGTACCTCTGACTCTGCTCCAGCTTCCTGCTAATGCACATTTCCAGAGAGGCACAGGTGATGGCTCAACCACTTGGATGCCTGCCTTCCATAGAGAGATGTGGAGAGAGTTCCTTGCTGCTGGCTTTGCCCTCACCAGCCTTCAATATTGTGAACATTTTTGGAGTGAATCAAGTGTTGCTCTGCCTTTCAAATCAAATCTTTATTTATTTTTTAATTTGAAAGGCAGAGTTATGGAGCAAAGGAGAGAAAGGGAGATCTTGTGCCCATTGGTTCATTGCCCAAATGGCCACAATGTCCAGAGCTCATCTAAAGCTAGGAGTCAGAAGCTTCTTCCAATTCTCCCATATGGGCCCAAGTACGTGGGTCATCCTCCTCTGCCTTCCCAGGCCGCAAGCAGGGAGTACGGTGGGAAGTGCAGTAGCTGGGACATGAACCAGAACCCATATGGAATCCTGGCACCACAAACAGACAATTAGCTTGCTGTATCATAGTGCCAGCCCCCAAATAAATGCTCTTTGAAAAATGAAGTTACTGCTTGCAGAGGAAAATGGTAGTGACGCTGGGGTGGATGTGCTTTCGTTTCAGCATTGTATGGAATAGAATGATACAATTCCCTGAGCATTTTGCTATAAAACCTCTCTAGAAGTTCTCCTTCATGCAGTGTGCCATGCCTTCAGTGGTTTGGCAAGATCTGACAGTTAACTGTGGAGTGTTAGGGTGACTATATAAACACAAACTGAAATGGCTGTATTTCAGTTGAGACTAGGATTCAGTTACAACCTGAATCGCACATCCGTGGGCCTGGACTCTGGCTTCACTTTGGAAAGCCCTTTAAAATGTAAGCAAACTAAGAGTCTGTCCATGTAGAATGTTAGTATTTTGTTTTGGTTTGTTTTGTTTTCTCAGTTGGAGTATTAGTATTTTTAAAAAGCTTCCTAGAAAATTCTAACATATAACCCATACTGACAAACACTGAGTTTAATGAAGCAAAAAATACTGTGATCATTTTTTTTACAAATATTTATTTTCATTTTATTTGAAAGGCAGAGAGGGAGAGGGAGGGAAGGAGAGAGAGAGAGACAGAATGTGTTTCACTCCTTAAATGGCTACAACAGCCAGGACAGCCAGGCTAACGGCGGGGGCTAGGAGGTCCATCCATTCTCCCATCTAGGTGGCAGGGACCAAGGAGCTTGAGGCATCATCTCGTGTGTTAGCGGGGAGCTGGATTGGAGGTGGAGGAGCCAGGACTCCTCCTAGGCACTCCAATATTTAATATGGGTGTCCCAAGCAGTAACTTAACCTCTTCATTAAGAGCCTACCTATTGATTATTCTTTTGTATATAATCCAAAAGAAACACGAAAATTCAGTCATTTTTAGGGTTCATGAAGTCTTCAGAAAATATGGCAGGAGTCCCTCAGGGGTTTGGGAAATTGGTAGAGAACTTTATTCCCAGGCCTAGTTGTGTGGCCTTGGATAACTTAACTTCTCTGAGATTTAGTTTCTCATAAAAATAAGCTAATAATAGTACCTACCTCACAGAGCAGTTGTGAAAATTAGATGAGATAATAATGTATACAAAGCACTGAACTTAATTCTTGGCTCCTCTTATCATCAGCTATTATGTTGATAATCATCTGGAAGCTAAGAAAACATTTGCTGGGCAGGTATGAGCCACAAGAAAGAGCTGATGGGGGGAAATCGGATCCTGAGAGAACATTTATGAGAATGGGCATGATAACCTCGGACAGGTGGGCAAGCAAAGGTAATGATGACGGGGTGGGTTCAGTGAGGGTTTGGGCTGCATGTCAGGCTGAGCTGTGGGTGACAAGTGACCACCTTCAAGCCCACATTGGAAGACAGGGTCACCCTGAGGTGATAACCCACAGGAAGAAATTATGAAGAAGCAAGAAAATAAAGATGGTGTCAAGTGGAGCAAACTGAATTCTGGGAGCAGACCTGGCTGTCAGTGGACTCAGAGAGAGAGCATGCCTCCCACAGGCAACAGGAGCAGGTGGCTGCTCCCTCAGGTTGTAGCCAGCTTTACCAGTTACTGCTGAGTAGTCATTTGGCTCGGAGGGCCGTAGCAAGTGTCATCTGTCCGGGGCCTAGCCAGGTACCCGAAGGAAAGGAGACTGATGGGAAGGAGTAGAGTCCACCTTAAATCTGCCTTCACAAAGGATCTCGTGTGGGATGAGGTTTGGAAGCATATTTTGCCTCCTTTTCAGGTTTCATAATGATTACGTTTCTTGTGAAAGATATACTTTCTCTAGAAAGAGAATCACACAGTCTAAGCAGTTGATCATCTTGACCTCTGCCTTGAATAAGAACAGATCATGAGCTTGTCAGCAGCCTTGTAATCAAAGCAGGGAGCAGGATGTCTTAGCAAGCCTAACTACTTCCAGCTTTAATTGCACCATTCCTATTTTGTAACTCTCTTCGTGATATAGTAAACTTAGCAAAAAAAAAAAAAAATCCTGAAGGACAACATAAACTCCCCAGTATCCTGATGTAATGGTGGCCTACTCCTTTGGGCTGATACATCATTCCTCTGATTGATTATGCCAGGCATCATATTTTAGTGAAAGAGTTATCATTACAGGGTGTTGTATACCTGGTCTTTGTATTCTCTTCCTTGTTTATCAGTTTGTTTTTCTTTCTTGTAATTCCCCTGGAATTGTATTTTCCTAGCTTCCCAGTAATGTCAATTTTTTAAAATTTATTTATTTTTATTGGAAAGGCAGATTTACAAAAAAGGAGAGATAGAAAAAGATCTTCCATCTGCTGGTTCACTTCCCAAATGGCCTCAGAGGCCAGAGGTGAAGGATTAGCCAGTTGAGGCATTGCGCCACGCCACAGCCGTATACATTTGTGTTATAGCTCAGTTTTTAAGGAGGCGTCTACACTTGAACATCGAGTGGACTGATAGGTGTGGGGTTACAGCTTTCAAATTTTACACTTATGGGACTTCTCCCAGGTAGACGCCACAATTTCCTTAAAGCTTTCCTCATGACAACACTGATCCTTTAAACTTCGGAAGGATGAGAAAAGAGTTATATTGTGACTTGTCTGGTTAATTCATGTAGTTGTTTTTCTCTAAGAGGCCCACTTTCCAAAAAACACAGTTTTTACACTACCTTACATGTCTGTCAGGCTTGGTATTGAGTTACCCTTTTACTTTCTGTCAGCATTTCGCTCATGTAGTTAGTTCAGATCCTGCTGTCTGAGCTCCCAATAAGTCCCAAAGCTCTCCTGTGTTCGGCGCAATCCAGGGCTGACTTGTACATGTCACTGCCTTCTCACCTAGGAAGCCCCAACAGCTGCTGACACAAATCTCCTTTCACTGGGGAGCCCACTGTGTGTTTCTGGCAGCACACAGGAAGACTACAATGTGTTTCAGGTACCTGGTGATTTCTTCTGGAAGACATTAATCTTGGGCACAGAACTCAAAGGTTTTAAAGATGTAGATTTTGTAAGAGGGAAGCTGTGCTTTCCCCTTGTCTCTGCTGTTTTCACTTTCAGTTCTTGTGGAAGCTTTTGGTCATGCTTACATCCCCCCAAGTTTGAAGTGCTCTGCTTGTCCATATTAGCATAATACAACAAATGGACTCCGCAAATGGGATGCTAATTGATTTGATTCCTCCCAGTTTCAGACTATTTGCAACTTTTAAATTTATAAATCTCCTATAAAAATACACAATTGTTTTTCTCTTGCCTTATTGGGAAGGTGAACTTTATCTTCCAAAATCAGCTTGTGTGGGATGAAGTTGTTGGGAACCTCTTTTGTGATTGTGTTTCATAATCCCACCTCCACTACCCCACCCCATTTAAATTTTACTATAATAGGGTTATTCATTGTGGATCGCAGTGGTTTTTTTTTTTTTTTAATCATTTATTTGAAAGAGAGACAGTGATCTCCCATTTGCTAGTTTTCTTCCCGAATGCCTGAAAGAGCCAGTGCAGGTCTCCCACATGGGTCAGGGATCCGAGCATCTGAGCTGTCACCTGCTGCTTTCCAGGCTGTGCATTAGCAGGAGATTGGAACAGGATCAGGCATCCCAAACAGCAACCTAAACACTGCAGCAACAGCCGCTCCAAAGCCTGAGTTCCTAATCTGGTTTTTGAGCTTTTGAATGTTTTCCATGTAAAGTCATGTTTCACACATTGCCATGTTTAAAACCTCGGGAGCCAAGTGGCTTCATTCTGGACTTTGCTACCACATGATATCCCAAGGTGTCAAATGGGTGAAAAACTGTGTAAGCAGTTGCAGTTATTACGCTGAGCATTTTTGTTTTATATGTAATAGCAAATAAATAAATAAGTAAACAAATAAAAAAGGATCACAACTCTTCAACCAATTAAATGAGAGTAGTTTATTAAAAAAGAACTAAAACAGAAACTCTAAGTACCAGTGTGTACATTGTACACATTTAAATGACTCACAAGAATGAAGTTTTCCATATATATTATGATCATACCACCTTGCTGTTTATCAAAAGATGTTCAAGGAGAAATTTGACTCCAAATTGTATATGAGATTGCCATTTTCAACAGATTGCATTTCAAACATGCAACAACGCCACTGGTAATAAAGCTTTGGAATGGGTGCTCATTCTATTATTTTACTACAAACAGGATAGAAAGCAAGAGAAGTTGAGAATTTATTCTAAAATAGAATGGAAGTTGTCATCGTTCACACCAGCATTCCTCACTCCTCTGCTGCCATTTTGATCAAGTATTCCTTGTCAATCTTGAAGAGCCTCCACCCCTCTTCAGTGGACAGATCAGAAGCACCTCTTCTCTTGTAGAAGCTGATAGATGGTTCATTCCATTCTGCCACCAAGAAGTGCATGCTGCTACAGCGGCACTTGATCGCGACCTGTTAGGAGGGCAGTGAGACACAAATCCTGTGACATTTGATCTGTTTTCCAAGGCTTGATTTTGCTTCCAAACTAAAATCATCTAGTAACTGCCACAAATTCAGAAACCCAAAACTAGGACATACCTGGCTTAGATTCTTCAGAATTTCTGATCCTATACCAAAACCTAGAACAAGACAATTCCAAAGGTCATTGTAAGGACTGATGGTGTGGTTTCCCTTTAGACCCTCCCCAGCCAACTCAAGCTTACCTCTATAATCACTCATCACGAAGAAGTCTTCAAGATACAGTAACTTGCCAATCCAGGGGTCATAGGTAAAATAGTACATGGCAAAACCAACAATGGTGTGTCCTGTAATAAGAGGATCACATGAGCTACAGAGAAGAAAAGCAACCCATTAAAGTTGTAGATGCAGAATCTGAAGCCTTTTATAGGTTTTTAAAGAAATAAACATGCATGTATTATGGAAATAAGCAGCCACTCAACAGGACTGCCTCCTGACTTAGGCTAGGATGATCTCACTGCCCTCAGAACATGTATGTGTAAAATAGCACACATTAGAGCAAGCTGAAGGCAAGCTACAAATGTGGACTGGCCACGTAGCCGGCCGCTGGATCTCATAGGAAGCGAGAAAGCTTTCATTACTTGCCAGAGCAAAACTGCTATGGGCTTCAGCTACACACACACACACACATTATGTACATCCTACTGATACAGTGGTATGCTGACTTGGGCAGAAGATGGGATGACACGGCAGTTCAGAAGAGGAGATATTATACTTAACAACTCTTGCTTCCTTGAAGTCTGAACACCAGGCCAAAGTACGATGTTTAATTTCAGAACTTGTCTTCCAATTTACACATTTTCAATTTGCTCTCCCCAGTTTTTAAGCCAGAAGCAACAGCAATACCCAGAAACTGGTAGTAGGTAAAATCTATATGCCCCTAAAATGCAGTCCCTCTCCCCTTGTGCTTTCTGCTCATTTCTTCCAGCCTGGGATCAGATGTGAGGACAAACATCAGAAAGCGCCCACCCACACAACTTCCCCTTTCAGCTGTCTTCTGACCAGTCAACAGGGGCCAGCAAAAAAACGAGGGGAGGGGCCGTGTGACTCCCTCATAAAGGGAGTCTACAGTTCCAAATGGAGACAAAGGTTTCAAATGCAACTTTGTAGCCATTCTCTATTTCTTTGCAAACAAGCAGGAAGCGAGTACAATGGTATTTCTGATCTACCGTGTTTTAAGTGTGTGATATTAGGACCTTACCTCATTTATCATGATCATCTAGTTTATTGTGTAAAGGATCTTTTAGTTACCTCCCCGCCCATCCATGTACACGGAAGGGCCATGTACATGGCGAAGCTAGAGACTGTAACCTGAAGATTGGGACAAATTAAAGAAAAAAATGTGATTTAACACAATTACGAAAAAAGGTTACGTTAGGGTCAAACAAGAACCACTTTATGAAACTGAATGACAACAAATGACATCACTTATTCCTAATTCTTCTGGGTCTCCACGGAATTCTAATACTTACGTCAACAAGGTCAACCTTTGCGGGGTCTCCACAATCGTCTGACTCATACCTCAGTAACCCGCCCTATTTATTTCTATGGGCGGCACACCTGTCAGTTTCCCACCTACAGATGGAACTTGAACGGTGGTTGGCTGTTAGTTCCAGCCAACTTTTCATCAAGAAACTTCAGCCTGTGTGGGGAGCGGTTCTACACAGCAGACCTACTTTCACCCAACAGTTGGCCTGGCTGGCTTCAGGCAGGGGGCAGGGCTTACCTTCCGCTGTCCGCTGCTCCTTGGGCACTTCAGCAACCAGGCAGTGGTAGAATGGGTGCTCTCCGAAACCATCCTCTAGCAGATCTGTGGGGGGCAGGGCGGGGGAAGGGGTGGCAAGCCCGCACAGGGTTGGCTTCGGTGAAGGGGCCAGGCGCCCACCCCTTGCACCCCACCCTGCCACGGCTCTGTTACCTTTTTCAGTTAATATCACTTGGTCTTCCATATATTCATATTTAGCCAGCTCCTGGAGCCATACACATGCGAGAAAGACAGAAGCAGAAGAAAGTTGAGGCCTTGTCGGGCCAGCTCAGAGGGAGGGGAATGGGGCCGGAGGGGAGGGGTGGCGCCGCGGCTCCGGGCTAGGGGTGAGGGAGGCGGGTGGGGGATACGCCATCAGCCCGGGGTCTGTGAGGTCCGTCCTGCCCTGCCAACCCCCCACCCCCTCCGCCTTCGTCCCGGGAGATGCTCCAGCCTTCCACTACCTTGATTAACCGCAGGATGTCACTGCAGTCGCCGGCAGTGGCCGGACGGATCACGAATTTAGCCATTTTCGTCTTTTGCTCTTCTTCCCTTTGCGGACCAGGCCCCTGTACTTGAACAGTAGGAGGAGGTGGTTCCTCATTCGTTTCGCGGGAGCGTCCTCTTCTCAGTCAGGCTGGCACCATGACCCGGCGAAGCTCTGCGTCTCACGGAAAACTGCTTAGAATGCAACTAACAGCTGCGCAGCAAGCAGCGGCCAGGCGCGTCTTTTTAGCTCGAAGAAGCCCCACCCCAGGCGTGAGACGGAGGCCCCTGATCCAATGGGGCCGCTGCCTGGCGGCGCACCGCCTCCTTTTCCGGACACTGCCCCTTCTTTCCGGAGGCCCGTGAGAACCCGGAGGGTGCGAGAAGCGTGGCGAGGCGCGCCGGGAGGCTCTGCAGCGGCTCCCTCTAGTGTCGTCTCGTGGAATTTTCCCGCAAACTGCGTGGGGAAGGACGCACGTCCTTCTGTAACCTTTGCTAACGAAAAAGGGAATTCCCTCTGCGTCCCCCTCTTGGGCTCCCTTTCCCTTGGTCTGTTAGGGAGACCTGAGCTCGGGCGATGGAAAAAGGATTTAGAATATCAATTCTCGACGTGATCCAGGTGACCTTCTGGATCCTGCCGTCATTTGCCTTTTCACTCTTGCTGGAATTTTCCAGAGGCAGCCTGCTGCGTGATGATGTCATTGTCCTTGTGACTAAAGGAATGTGTGCTTGTGTGTATTGTTTCCCACAATTTCCTAAGGTCAACTATTTGGGTTTCTCCATTTTTTCCTTATACGTTCTACAGTTACCGAGGTTTTCTCGCCTTTCTGGCCATCTTCTCACTTCACTGTTGAAGAACGTTGCTGTAATCCCTGCTGCCTGTCATCTTTCCCTTCATTTCCTTTAACTCACCTTCATTTCCTCTTAAATCATCACGTATTTAAATTATGATGATGTCGTTGCTCTGGTGACTAAAAGATTGCAGGCTCAAGTTTCACAAGTGAAAGCTTTACATTTTTCAATACAATGTCCCCAGATTAAAATGTCCACCCCCAGTTGTGCTACAGCGTCCTGACGCAGGGATTCCGCCGGCTCCCCCCCTCCCCCACGGCCGCTGCCAAGGGCGGCTGTGAAGTGGCTGCCGGCTTCCACGCTGAAACACTGAAGTGTTTCCTTAGAGTGTAAACAGGCTCGGCCGTGTTTTCAGTTTAGTGAGGGGTTGGACTGTCCGTCACTAACCACCTGTGACACTGAGCAAGCTTCTGCCTTAGTAACGTCCTGTACCGAGAGCGCAAAGCACAAGTAGGTTCCCTGCCCCCCTCCCCCTCCACGCCCCACCGCGGAGTCCGTGCCCAGTGAGTCATCGTGAGAACTGATAAAATGTCTGTCTCAAGACTGTTTAAAAAAAAAAAAAAGAGCGTTGTTTCTCAGCAGCTAGACCCCGCGCGCAGTCAGAAAGCCCTTCCCTCCGCTGCTTCTCCCACCAACGCTGCAGGATTGAGATCTTGTTACACATGGGCTGATAACGGTAGACTTCATGACTAAGCTCTCAGGATGGCTGCCTAGTTGAAGCAAAAACAAGATGTTTTTCCGTTTGGACCCGTGTCCAATTGACATGTACTTACCCTGAGGGCAAGCACAATGCAGTCTTTATGAAAAGAGATTTCCTTAACCGGGGAGGGCTGACGGGTACTGAGGACAGACAAGGGCCAGGACACCGAGCTGGGGGCTTTGCGGCATTCTCTGGTCCTTAGATCTAGCCTCTGGAGTAGGTTAAACCACACAGTTGAGGAAACCAGAAGCTGGCAGTGCTGACAAAATGGTCACCGCTTGGTAGGGGCAGAGCTGTGAATATTTATGTTTTGAGACTAGATTTACTGGCCCAGGGGCCATTGCTCAGCAGTGAATATATGGGCTTATTTATTTACTATTCTTTTTCATTTTTAAAAATTTACTTAAAGTTTTTTTTTTTTAATTGGAAAGGCACATATACAAAGAGAAGGAGAAACAGAGAGAAAGATCTTCTCTTCATTTCCAAAGTGAACACAACAGCTGGAGCTGAGCCAATCTGAAGCTGGGAGGGAGGCAGGAACTTCTTCCAGGTCTCCCACACGGGTGCAGGGTCCCAAGGCTTTGGGCCATCCTGTTGTAGTTTCCCAGGCCACAAGCAGGGAGATGGAAGGGAAGTGGAGCAGCCGGGACTTGAACCAGTGCCCGAATGGAATCTCAGTGGATGAGATTTAACCACTAGGCTATTGTGCCGGGCCCAAGATTGGTTTTTATTTTTTATTATTTTTTTAGCTTCCAAAACCCCTATTTAGGCTCCAAAAGTTTGGTTATTGAATTCAGTCACTGACATAGTAGAAACTATCAAATATGCTTAAAGTAAATATAAATAAAGCCTACTTGCCATTTAATAAGATTTTTTTTAATGGAAAGGCAGATTAGATTCACAGAGAGGAGGAGAGACAGAAATATCTTCCATCCACTGGTTCATTCCCTAAGTGGCTACAATGGCTGAGCTGAGCCGATCCGAAGCCAGGAGCCAGGAACTTCTTCCAGGTCTCCCACATGGGTGCAGGGTCCCACGGCCTTGGACCATCCTTGACGGCTTTCCCAGACAACAAGCAGGAAGCTGGGTGGGAAGTGGAGCAGCCGGGACATGAACCAGCACCTGTAAGGGATCCTGGCACATGCAAGGTGAGAATTTAGCCATTGAGCCATTGTGCTGGGCCCTGTTAATTATTTCTTTGAATTAACTTATTAGAGACATAGAGACACACCGGAAGTGAAATTTTCCATCTGCTGTCTCACTCTACAAATGCCTGCTGTGGCTGTGACGGGGTTGGGCCGCGCCTGTGAGCACTTCTATTTCAGGATTCTGCAAAGACTAAGTTCCAAAACATTCCTTCTGGTACTTTGCATTGGCCCTGCTACCAGAAGAGTCAATGATTTGAAAAAGGAAATTGTTGTAATACCATCCATCCCTTTTGTTAGTCACCTATTGCCACATAACGAGTTACCACAACCTTGGTGACTTGGGATGACAGAGACAGTTGCAGTTTTGGTGTGTCAGGAGTCTAGGTGTGTCTGAGCGGTGCCCTCTGTTCGCGGTGTCAACCAAGAGGTGTTTTCATGTGGAACAAGCCACTGCCATGCTCATTCAAGTTACTGGTATTGGCAGAACTCGTTTCTTGGGTTGTAGGGCCTTGGCTTCTTGCTGGCTGCAGGCTGGAGGATGCGCTCAGCTTCCAGAGGCCTCTTCTGATTCCTTGTGATTCCTTGCCAAGTGATCCTGTTCCGTAAGGCTCTTGGCTTCCTCAAGCCAGCAAGGTGAGTTTCTGGAAAAGTCTGCTCGCAGGACAGAATTTTTCTTTTAGATTGTGGAAAAAAAGCACATAATGTGAAGTTTGAGGTCTTCACCGTTTATACAGGATAGTCAAGCTGACTGCATTTGGCGTGTTGTACAACAGACCCTGCAGAGCATCTGGGAAACAGACCCTCTCGAGCCCTCAGACCCTTTCCCCTTCTGGTCCCTGGTGTTTTACTTTTTGTTTTTATGAGCTTGAATGCTTTTGACATCTCATATAAGTAGAATCAGGCAAAATTTGTCTTTTTTTGTAGCTGGTTTCGTTTCATTTTGCATGATGTTGACCAGATCTATTCATCTGCCAGGCATTCCAGGAGCCCCTGGAAAGTAAAGAAAAGCATAAGAAAGGAAAAAAAAGATATGGTGTAACTCTGTGGGAGCCTGGAGGGTGGGGAGAGTAGATCTGGGGACAACATGTACAGTGTCATCTACAGATGTTGTTGAGTCAGTCCAGCAGACCCGAATGAGAATTCTGCCCATTTTTGTGCAAAACAGCTTACTCCTATGTCAATTTTCTAATTGATTCATGTAGTGCCTCATTAGCATGCACTGTCAGTTCCCTGATTAGTTAACATAGCATGCCGCATTAGCATATGCTTTCAACAGATTGTTGTTCTTCTGTCTTCTGATTGGTGGTTATCTCTGCTTTCTGATTGTTATTTTGGCTTCCTGATTTGCTGCTCTTCCCTGCCTCCTGAATGATTGTTATTCTACCCTTTCCTAATTGGTTAATCTAGATTGGTTTTCAGAAAGGGACCAATCAGAGAGAGCAACTTTATGTATAAAAGAGCCAGAATTGGCAGGCTTGTTGGAAACTCCTCTGTTGGAGTCCCCCTGCCGACTGCTGCAGGAGGTGGTTTCTCACTCCCAACAAACCTCACTTTGCTGACTATCCCTTGTCCACATGGAAATTCTTCAATATGAGACAAGAACTGAGATTGTTTTAGTCCAGCAGCAATAGCATGGAGAAGATTCTCTGCTCTCTCTCTCTTTTTTCTTTTTAAGATTTTTTTAAATTATTATTACAAAGTCAGATATACAGAGAGGAGGAGAGACAGAGAGGAAGATCTTCCGTCCGATGAGTCACTCCCCAAGTGAGTGCAACGGCC